CGCCTCCGTCTCCATAGAGTGTCTTTGACCGGGGTACCATCCGTTCCCCCAAGGCAAAGCTACTCAGAGCCGGGCAGCCGCCCCGCAATCCGTCCGCCGCACGGAGGGGCTGCGGGGCTGGGCTCCCGGGTCACCGCGGCCGGGGCTGAGAGCGCTGCGGGCGGGCAATGGAGGCGGCGCCGCGGGAGCTGGGGGCCAAGAAGCGGTGTCGGATCTCAGCGGGCCTGCCCGGCCCGGTTGGGCGGTTCCACTTCCATGGTCACCCGAGGAGCGCAGAGGCCGCGGTCTGCAAGAGGAAAGCGGCGAGGTCCGCGGGGAAGATGCTGTTGTCCTGCGCGGAGGAGAGGCACCGGGCTTAGCGAGCGTTTCCCCACTTAGCCTGGTCTCCGAGCTCTGCAGGGAAAAGGGGAAAAAATGCCAATCCAGGGCCTCCGCTAGACTCTTTGGACGAGGACTGAGGGCCCTAGAAAATCGTAGTCCCAAGCACTTCCTCAGGGGATGCTGTGGTCGGGGATGTTGGGACCAGCCAGGCGCAGCAAACTCGGCTCGGCCAGTGTCGGGGGAAGGTCTCGTTATCACCTGCAAAGATCTCACCTGCCTCTCCTCCTCTTCCTCCCATCCCCTTCTCTGTATCAGAACACAGGGATTTTGGTGTCAGTGTATGTGGTTCAAACTGCTCCTCTTCCCCAATCGGAACGTTGTAGGGTGAAGACAAAGTGAATTTTGAAGAATGGGCTTAGCCGATTACGTTTTGTGTGTTGTCTCCCCACCCCCGAGCTCAGTCTCGTTCACTCCCTCCCTTTTATCCTTGAGGAGCAGACCTCAAGAGGTTATTACGTAATCGGCCCCGGCGCAACTTGTCAGGGCCAGATCTGGTGGGCACAACGCTCTTTTCTGGTACTTTCGCATCAGTTAATAATGATGGTTATTGTAGAGAAAAGGTGGTTTCTAAAGGGTGATTCTATGTAGTGAGGAGGACATCCTAGCCATCCACCCCAGAACCTTCAGGAAACTGCTGGGAGGACAGCCAGGCATTTAGTGCCACCTGGAGTCCAGGTTTGGGCTGGACAACTTCCTACTTAAGGACTCCACCTTTATATGATTTGAAGACTCAAGTTTACCTGAAAAAAAAAATTAAGTGGAGTATGTCTTTTAAAATATGCCCAGCAAAGACAGTCATGAGCAGAGACCTAGAACCGGAAATTAAATATTTGGAAATGAAATAAAAGTCTAAAATACACAAACAGTACAGTTACTTGGACACTATTCAAAGGTGACTGCTTGGTTTATTTCCTCACCAAGACATGGTAGACAGGGAGAGGAGGAGGGAGCTGTTTGCTGTATGTAACTCTCCTTGAAGTTGCCCCAGTATTTCTTAAGTCAGCCATATGGAAGTTGACAGCTTTTTCTAGAGAGTGAGAATCAGTTTCAATTTTGATGTCATATTGGGTGGCTTAGGTATTTCATCGTGTGTGTATGATACAGATAGACTCATTGGTTGAAAAACGAAACTGTTCAAATAATGCAGAAAGGTACAAAGGTGTCAAAATCCCCTGGCCTTATACTCACAGTCTCTCTAGCTGTGGTCTTTAGTCTTGGCTGCACAGTAGCACTCCTTGGGAGATTTTTGTTGTTGTTGCTGTTGTTTTGAGGAGGATAACAAGTGTCGGTGAAGGATGTAGAGAAATGGGACCCCTTGTATGCTTTTGATGGGAATGTAAATTGGTGCAGCCACTATGGAGAACAGAAGGTTCTTCAAAAAATTAAAAATAGAGCTACTGTATGATCCAGCAATCCCACTCCTGGGTATATAACTGAAGAAAGTGAAAACACTAATTTGAAATGATACACGCATCCCAGTGTTCATAGCATTATTATTTACAGTTGCCAAGCTATGGAAGCAACCTAAGTGCCCATTGGTAGATGAATGAATGAACGAGAAGTCATATATATGTGTGTATTATGTATATATATGAGTATATACATATATGTGTGTATGTATATACACACACATACAATGAAATATTAGTCATAAAAAAAGAATGAAATTCTACCATTTGCAGGAACATGGATGGACCTGGAGGGTATTATGCTTAGTGAAATAAGTCAGACCAAGAAAGACAAATACTGTATGTTATCACTTACATGTCAGATCTAAAAAATAAAACAAACAGATGTATACAACAGAACAGAAACAGACTGACAGATTTGGAGAACAAACTAGCAGTTACCAGCAGGGAGGGAGAAGGGAGTGGGAGGCGGGGGGATTAAGTGACACAAACTACTGTGTATAAAATAAGCTTTAAGGATGTAACGGACAACACAGGGAATACACCAGTATTTTATAACTTTAAGTGGAGTATAATCTATCAAACTTTTGAATCACTATATTGTACACCTGAAACTGATATAATATTGTAAATCAACTATACCTCAGTGAAAAAAATACAAAAACTAAATCATGTTGGTTGGGCAGAGATGCTGATTTAATTGGTCTAGAGGGGCAGGGCTTTGATTTTTTAGCTTCCCAGGTCATGATGTTCAGCTAGCATTAACCCCACACACAGCCCTACATATAAAATACTTAATATCGATGACAAGATGTTTCAGAGGCTGGAATTCATGTGGAAAATCTAAACATAAAGCAAGACCCCTATTCCACCCACCAGTAAAGACTCAGAGACGTGAATGAAAGCAGTAGTTATTACAACTAGGTAGGGGTGGTGTTAGAACAGGCAGTGACAACACAGTTAAATGGCAACTCTCAAACCTGAACGAGGGAAATGCACAAGAGAAATATTTGGTAACATTATGACAACTGTGCCAAAGGATTTCATACCTGTGCTGTGTGAAGAAATTACCCAAGTGCCTTAGAAGAACTCCAGAGCACGGGGGCTGAGTGGTTAAGTGAACATCTCGTTTTCACAGGTGAGGAGGGTACTGATGGTGAACATTGGGAAAACGCTTTCAAACTTGCTTATCGCTAACTCAGAACTAAAATAATAAGGAAATTATGTTTTCTAGACATCAAACTAAAAAGTAAGGAAAAAAATTAAACTGGTCTAGCTGCTGGGGAACAGATTGGTTTAGTCTCAGGAGGCCAGGAGCCTGGAGGGTTCGATGCTGGCCAGACTGGTTGTGGCTTAAATCCTGGCGGCTGCAGAGTGACCTCAGGCAGGTCACTTGACCTCTGCAGGCCTGACATCCCTCATCCAGAAAACCGAGACACCAGCAGCTATTGCATCAAGGCTGCCGGGGCAGGCTGCACGGTAGGCCTGTAGTTGTGTGTCCCCTGGTTGCTGACAAGCACCACAGTGGTCTTTATAAATCAGCACAGCTACACTGGAGAGGAATTTGGCTAAATGTATCAAAAGCTATTTAAAAAGCTCTTTGGGGTGAAAAAATGTCACTCCTGGAACTTCATTCTGAAGGAACTAAGTTGAAAGAAGAGATGTTGATTTTCAGATGTAGATAGCAGCATTGTTGTATAAGATATAGCAGCATTTCTTATAACTGGAAGAAATAGGAAATGGGGAGAAATTGGAAGAAAAATTAAATGGAAAAAAAAGAGACAACTTTTAAAAATTTTTAGCCATATATGCCTAATTCTGAGTTGCCCCCTGCATTGGTTGGATGTGGCCTGGAGTCATTATAATCATCCTTTGTCGAACGCTTACTTCGTTTGAGGTTCTGTGCCAAGCACTTCACATACATCATCAGCTTTAGCCTGGCCGGCAGTCCTCTGAAATAGACATTCTTATGACCCCAAGTCATTGATGAGGAATGCTGAGGCAGGATGGGATTCAAATTCAAGTTGGCCCGACTTGGAGTCCGCATGCTTAACCCACTGTGTTGTACACCTGGTCCCAGCACTGCTTCTGCTGGAAGCACTCCAGAAAGACACCGAAGAACAGAAAAAGTGATTGACGAGGCTTTATTTAGCCTAGAGGAAAGAAGCTTCGGTAGATCAGTAAGAGTTATGTACTGTGTGTTGTGTCTTCACTGAGAGCTCAATAAAGCTCACTGAGGATAAACTTTAAAAATGAGGGATTTATACACAGGAAACTAACACAACATTGTAAATCAGCTATACACCAATTTAAAAAAAAAAGAGGGATTTAGACTGGCTACAGTGAGCTTTCTGAATTAACCAGATGATGTACTTGGGAGCCCCAAAGCCTTTTGTGTTACAGAATAAAAGAGGCTAGATTATTACCTTTCTAGCTGTGTTATTAAATAATTTCTCTTTTTTCCTTTTGCCTCGAAGCTAGAGGGTAATTTCTCTTCCATATATAGTAACAGATACAAATGGCCCAGTTGGTCTGAATGAAACATGTTGCTTTAACTTGAGCCAATAATAGTTCACTTTGTTTTCCTACCATATTGGCCGACTTAACTGCAGAATGTGCACCGTCTTTATGGAATCCTAAGAGCATCTGGTGAAGTGATGAGTTCTAAGCCCAGGGCTTATGGAGCAGTGAGGCACGTGTGCGCATGCGCATGTCCTAGCATCCCCGCTGACGCTGCGTGAGGGACCAGATCCCCCAGGCGTTTGAGAAGCTCACCTGGGAAGTTCACTCACTGTTCACTCACACGCACTTTGTCTCCGACACTTTTTTCAGGTGCCGGTTTATCGTTTTGGTTTTTTTTTTCTTTTTAAAACTTTTCTCCTAATTCTTACCAGACGTAGACAAAAAAAGACATGTGGAGCTGAAGATGGACCAGGCGTTGCTGCTCATCCATAATGAACTGCCCTGGACGAACTTGACCGTCTACTGGAATTACGACCGCTGTTATCAAGTGGGTGCCCTGTGCATGCTCAGGGCTGTGTTTGCTTTGGGGCGTGTCTGGTTGTGACCCTTGGTGCTGTCATACCTGCAGCCCTCCACGTGTTAATTGCAGCTTTGCAGGTGAGGAAGCAGACAGGCTGTGTAAAAACTCAGAAGAAATACCATCATGAGAAAGACCAACAACAGGCAGCATTCCTTTCTTTCTTTTTTTAAAAAATTGAAGTAGAGTCAGTTATAATGTGTCAATTTCTGGTGTACAGTACAATGTCCCAGTTATGCATATACATACATATATTTGTTCAACATCTGTCTCTTATCTTTTCCCCTGCCCATCTTTTAAAAACCAGTGCTCCATGACAAGCAAAGTTGATACTGATAGACGTATTATATTTGGTGACTCTGCCTACTCCATAACTGTCCTGTTGGACCAGAGAAGGAAGGATTGAGACACAGGTGTTCTCCCCGGGCGGGGCAGTAAGGAGGCTGAGTCAGTGATTACAGGGACTTACCCTTCTGATGACAATGGATTTATTTCAGCTGAAGGTGTTACTCCTGTGCTAGACCTTGTTCCTTTTTAAGAACAAGACTACTCTTCATGTAAAATGAAATAGTCTTCATTTCCAAATTGAGAGCTTCAATGTATCACCTTCAGAGGAAGAATTTTAATGGCTTGTGACCTGTTTACTGTAAATAGCTTTAAAAAAAACAAATTTAAAAAAATCCATAGTGTGGATATCAACTGAAAAGCTAATGGAGCGGGACATGCCACCTTCTATGCAGTAACGTGAGACACAAAGTCCTTAGATTGAAAAAGCTCGTTCAAGACAAAAGGTTGATCACAAGAAAGACCTAAAAGAACCCTGAATTAAATAGAAAAAATCGTTAACTTCAAAAATGTCTGTATATATTAACAAAACACCAGTCATGCATTAAGTCAAAAGAGACTCAAATACAAAAGGCAGAGATTATACATCCTGTAATCTCATTTCTCTGCACAACAAAAAGAAACTGATATAATAGGAGATGAAATTCAAACATAAATATTTCATAGGAAAATCTTTGACCTGGACAAAACAATTCTTGTGAAAAATTTTATTTGAACATATCTAACAATAAAGATGATAATATGACTGGGACACTACGCTGTACACCAGAAACTGACACGTTGTAATTGACTACACGTCAATTAAAAAAAAAAAGATGGTAGTAATACAAGTGGCAGCTGCTGTTTGCTGAGGGTCTGCTCTGTGTTTTAGGTTTGTCAGAGCTCGTTTAATCTGGACCACAACCCAGGGTGTGTCTGGATTAGCAGGTGGGGATGCTGAGATTAAGAGCAGTAAAGGGACTTTTCCTGGGTCACCTAGCTGTCACGTGGCAGCACTGGGGTCCACACCCCTCTCTCTAGCTTCAGAGGCTGTTTGTTTCCAGGGTCCTGCTTTATGTTAATCAGAAAGAAAAGGGGAAATGCAAAGCTGTCGAGTAAGGAGCTGTCTAGTAAGAACGTCAAGGTTTTGGGAAGTCGTGTCATCCTCTGAAGAAGAAAAAAGGAAGCAAGAAAAATCATAACCATGTAAACTTCAACATGAGGAAAAAATGGAAATAAGAATGAGCCAAGAGATTTTTTTTAAATATAAAAGTCACACAGTTGATAAATTACTGATAAATTTAAGGGGAACATGGAAATTAATAAAACTAGAATAAAATTAGGATATATATGTCAACTGAAATTAAAATAATTTTGGTAATAATCTTAAAAATCTGGCAAAAACATAAATGCATGTCAAACTTTCTTTTTTTTAACATTTTTTATTGATTTATAATCATTTTACAATGTGTCAAATTCGTGTTCAGCACAATTTTTCAGTCATTCATGGACATATACACACTCATTGTCACATTTTTTTCTCTGAGTTATCATAACATTTTGTGTATATTTCCCTGTGCTATACAGTGTAATCTTGTTTATCTATTCTACAATTTTGAAATCCCAGTCTATCCCTTCCCACCCTCCACCCCATGTCAAACTTTCTAATTAATACAGGTGCAGACATCTAAAATAAAATAAAATAAAATAAAATAAAATAAAATAAAATTCTATTAGGTAGAGAAAGTTGGCATGTTGAAAGATTTATTATGATTTATATTTTCATCCTTGAGTTCATTTCTAAGGATAGTGATACAATTTTTTTTAAGATACAGTTTTAATGGGAAAATTATTAAACTTAAAATTTATACTTCTTTAATAAGTTTATGAACTTTAAATTATTTATTTATTTTTTTTTACATTTTTATTGATTCATAATTATGAACTTTAAATTATAAAACTGGAGAGGTAGTGCACTCAGATATGAAGACTAACCATAGGAAAAATGAAAACTATTAAAACTAGTAAATGAATTCAGCAAGGTAACAGGATACAAGGTTAATATACAGAAATCTGTTGCATTTCTTTACACTAACAATGAAATACCAGGGAGAGAAAGTATAAATAATTCCATTTAAAAATTGCATCAAAAAAAAAAAAAACCTTGGAAAAATGGCAGCACTTCCCAAAGTAATTTATACTTAACACAACTACTGTGCGTATATCAGTGGATACTTTATAGAATCTGCATAAATAACTCCAAAGTTTATATGAAAGAGTAAATGCGCCAGACAATCAGAGGATGGCCCCAAAGGAGAAGGGGACATGGGAGAAGGGAAGCTTGCAGTACCAGATAAGGTACATCACAGAGCAGAGACATTGTGAAAAAAGAGACATGGAGACCGCAGGGCCAAGATAAATGTGAGTAGAATCTAATTTACATAAGAATGTAACGTATTACAGCTAAAACCATGGGAAAGGTGTTCTGAATTATTGGATACCATCCCAAGTGGATTAATGTTTAAAAAAAACAAAACCCACACAAACTTTTAAAATATTTTAAGATGCAGGGTACTTTTTAAAATTATTTGTTTGTTTGTTTGTTTATTATTTTTGGTGGGGGAAGGGAATTAGATTTTATTTATCTGTTTTTTTTTTGAGGAGGAACTGCAGATTGAACCCCGGACCTCGTGCAAGCTAAGAATGTGCCCTGCCTCTGAGCTGTACCCTCCCCTGTACAGGGTACATTTTTAAACTAATGAAGCAATAGAAGAAATAACAAGCCAGATTAGAATATAAAACTTAAACAATTTGTCATTAAAAACAACAAAATAGTGGGGAGGGTAAAGGTCAAGTGATAGAGCTCGTGCTTAGCATGCACGGGGTCCTAGGTTCAATCCCCAGTCCCTCTGTTAAAATAAATAAATACATAGAAAACCTAATTACCTGCCTCCCCCCAAAAAACCCAACAGAATATAACACGATGTTAAACGTTTAGTATTATAGTACTGAGAACATATTTCTAAGATTGTGCTCGAGGGACTTTGGTGTCTACCAAATGGTTCACACCATAGGCAACATAAAACAGCAAAAGAAGATTGAATTATTTAATCTATTGATAATTGAAAATGTAATCTTGATGCTGTGGTGTCATGAATACCAAGTACCTAAACAAAAAGAAGAATGATTTGAACTCCCGGTAAGGCTGATAAGAAATAAATATTGTTTGAGTACCGTTTGGCCACATGTAACAAGAATCATTAAAGTGATTATTTTTTATCCATTAATCTAATTTTTGGAAATTTTTCTTAGGGAAAGAATTTAAAGGAAGAGGAACAGCATGGGTAGATCTGTTCATTTCCTTTTTTTTTTTTAACGACGGTATTGGAGATTGAGCCCAGGACCTCATGCATGCTAAGCACGCGCTCTGCTGCTGAGCTACACCCTCCCCACCATGGAAGTCCAGGGAAGTCCATGTATAGATCTTTTAAAATAATATAACTTATAAATTATAAGCATAAATATATATATATTATATATTTCATAATTAAATTGTATTTTCAAAAACAGTATTAATTTATATAAGTTATATACAAAAAGATAAGACAAAAAAGCTTTAAAAGCAGCCAAAATGGTCATAACTATAGTGTTTGATGGAATATACTACAACCGTTAAAAATGATAAATATGCAAATTGGGTAGACTCTTGGAAATTATTAATTAAGTAATACTAAGTAAAACAGTCGAATGGAAGACTTAATGGCAGGGAGGGGATAGCTCAGGGGTAGAGCGCGTGCTTAGTTAGCATGCACGAGGTCCTGGGTTCAATCCCCAGTGCCTCCATTAAAAATAAATGAACAAATAACCTAATTACCTCCCCCCGCCAAAAAAACCCCAAAATAAATAAGCTTAAAAAAAAAAGACTTAATGGCTTAATGGATGCTGTATTTGTTAATTAGGTGAAGAATTTACCTGTGAATAAAGGTGTAGAGTTCCCCAACACTTAGTTATATAGGCAAATTGTATCTAAATGATTGAAACTGAGAAGTTTTTTTTTCTAAGTGCGAAGGAAAAGTTATCTCAGGGTCTTCAGTCGGAGGTTCCGTCCTCCGAGAACCGGGAGACTGTCGGACGCGCCTGACATGCCGCCCGCACTGTGTGTGTAGTGCTTGCTTCAGGTCCTGGTCCACGCCTCCCGCAGTGGGAAACCCGGAAAGCCCAGCGTGGCAGCCGTGGCCGTCGGCACCCAGCACGTGTCCATCCTGCAACTCAACGACACCGTGGAGGACAAGGAACTTTGTAGGTTCGTGCCTGCTTTGATGTGACCTACACAATCTGCTTTTTCTGCCTTTTTTTTTTTCTATTTGGTTTCTAGCTTTTCCTTCTTTCAAAGTATTTTTCTGTCTCTTCCCTGGTCTGCACCCAGGAATGCCTGTCACCCTGCCTCAATGCCATTACCAAAATCCACCTCCTTATTTCCCACCCGAACAACATTTCTTGATTTTACCCGATCTTTGTAGGTTGGAATATAAATTTGGAGAATTTGGAAACTATTCTCTCCTGGTAAAGCACGCCCCTGATGGAGCCAGTGAAGCTGCTTGTGACCTGGTTGTCAACGAGAAGCCAGTCGACAGTGACCTTCGTACGTACACTCTCCTGGTTGATTTTTCGAGTTTGTGTTTTCAGAGGTTTTAGTTTTACACTTTGTGTAACTGAAACCCTATATTATAGGTTGTCTCATTTAGGTATAGTATATTTTGTTTGTTTGTTTTGGGGGGAGGAAATTAGGTTAATTAATTAATTAATTAATTATTATCATTTTTTAATGGAGGGACCCAGCACTGTTGACTTGACTTTTCAGGTTTCTCCCGTGTCCCTTCTGGCGTCCTTTTTCTGCCCAGAACCCCACAGTGCATTTAGGGGTCAGGTCCCCTTGGTCTCTTCCCATCTCATCTCATCTTCTCTGATCAGCCTTTCTTGGTCTTTCACACGCTGGACCCTTTGCAAGAGGACTGGCCGGTTATCTTGTGACTTGGGTTCGCTTACTGCCTTCTTCTGACCAGCAAGAGGCCCTGCGTCTTCGGTGGGGCCCAGCAGACGGGGCGCGGTGCCCTCCTCAGGGGTCACGTCCAGGGCTGCGTGATGGCCTGGACACACCTCCTGAGGGGATGAGCTAACTTTGATGTCTGGGATTTGCTTAAAAATGCTTCAGGCAAAAATTTTTTTTAAAATGAGGGAGAGTAGTCATAGATGAAGGAAGAATGACAGTGTTTGATACTCCAGAACCTAGGTGATGGGTTTATTATACAATTGTTTGTACTTTTGAGCATGTTTGGTGTTTTTCACAATGCAAGTTAGCACTGCCTTCTGAAGACTGTTCCCGGTTGCCAATAGGAGATTTAGCGTAAGGCTGTCCATTTCATTTGTGTGCCTTTTCCATTTGCAGATGAACTGCGACGACCTGACAGCTTTGGTGCTTGGGATGACGTTTTTGGTGACAGTGTGTTTTCTGTTCTTTCTACAGCCGTGACTGTCGCGTTCCTCGTGGGCCTGGCCCTCGTCATTGCAGTGTCCTTTCTAAAATTCCTGTGGAGGTGAGCTGGTGTCGGGGGAGGGCACTGTTGGGGAAAGGAGGACATAGAAAATATATATTTAAGAAGGGTCATTTGACCCTTCAGATGGCTATTATTCCTGGGTCAAACTTACTGTGTCCACCGTCCCTCAGGCCCAGGACAGTCCTAGGCTCTGGAGATTCAGTGATGAATAAGAGATGCTCCTTGACTTTAGGGAAGTTTTTAACAACCTAGTTCGAGTGGATGTTTGCCTTCAGTTCTTCCTCATGGCTGAAAAAGTAGCAGAAAATGCTTGAGCAGTTCTCCTTTCCTGAAAGAGTCTCGCCTCCTGCTTTACGGCGAGTGGACGTGATGTTTGTAGGCGGTCACGTCTCTAGTGCAGAGTCCCAGCCCCTGCCACCGGGACCCCAGCCACTCCTCTGACCTCAGGGTGGACTCTCCGTTGGTTAGGGTCAGCCAGCTGGGAGAGGGAATTCCTCCTCCTCTGCTGGGGTAAACAGTGATTCTGGAGAGCGGATTCATAGACTGGAGAAAAAAGGAAAGTAAACTAGATCCAGGCCCAGCACATCACCCTGCCGAGGGAAGGGCTTTCATCTCTGAAAGGGAATAGCTTGAGTTTTCACATGCTCAGTCTGTGAGGGTCTCAGGAAAGAGCACGAGATGTTATTGGTGAGCCGTTATCCAAGTTGGAAGTGGGCCCCTGCTAGCTTGGGGAAACCCTGCAGCGTTGGGGAGTTTATCATTCTGACCCCCTAGAAAGAGTGGACTTCGGTGTGGGAGAGCCCTGTCTGCGTCGCGGCAGGAGAGCGCCTTGCTGCTCAGAGCAGATGGGTAACTGCTCAGCCCTTTAGGGACAGGGCGCAGCCCTAGCCCAGGAGTTGCATTCCTTTGAATGTTGATCAAGATGTAAGTGATTTTGAGTTTCCATTTGGCCCTTTTAACATGCACAAATTTATTACATCATGTTTTAAAGTGATCGATAGCTGATATCAGGCTCCTGCAGAGAGAACTCCACCTCGCCCCACTGTGGAACTGAAACTCCTTTTTGCAAGGGATTCTGCCTTTGTAGCCCAAGGGCCGAACGCTGTTGTTGGCAAAGCAAGAGTCTCTTGTACGTTTCTTGTCACTTTCCAGTGTGCCCCCGGAAGTCCAGGGAAGTTCAGATTTGTCTGAAGAATCTGAAAAAGTAGTAAGAATATAGCATTTCTCCTTTTCGCCAAGGGAACAGGCATGTACAGGAAAATTAAGTGCTTTATTTTTTATTTTAATTAAAAACACTCTACTGAAAGTTTTTGATTTTAGCTTTTAAGTATCTTAACTTCTCTTTTTTACCCCTCCTTAGATGGTTCTATTTTTAAGTTAGTTTGTCATGTGATTGTGGTGTTATTAGTGCTGAACAAACTAGAAATGGGAGTTGAATTGCAGGAAGAAAAAAGAAGTTAGAAGTATATGTTTTGAGGGGAAGGGTGTAGCTCAGTGGTAGAGCGCATGCTTAGCATGTACAAGGTCCTGGGTTCAATCCCCAGTACCTCCTACTAAAAAAAAAAAAACAAAGCAAAACCTAATTACCTCTCGCAACAGCAACAAAAATATATACATTGGATATGTGGATCGCATTTGGATACTGATTTGAGCAATTCAGCTGTAAAAGAAAAAGACAGGAAAATGGAACTGGCTGTTGGATGGTATTAAGGAGTTATTGAGAAGATTTTAAAATGTGGCAATAATATTTTGTTGTTTAAAATGAGGTAATGGTATTGCAGTTAGGTTTAAAAATAAAGAGTCCTTAGTTTTAGTGATGCACACTGAAATATTCATTAATAAATGAAATGATGGCTACAGTTTTCTTTTAAAGACCAAGCCGAGAGGGAGGATATAGCTCAAAGTGGTAGAGCGCATGCTTAGCATGCATGAGGTTCCGGGTTCAATCCCCAGGACCTCCTCTAAAAACAGTAAATAAATAAATAAACCTCCCTCCCACCACAAAAAAAATAAATGGTAAATAATAAGCTGAGGCAGGAAGATGGGGCAGTGGTGGGGAGTGTAGATGAAGTGTTAGATTGACACGTGTGGATACTTGTTGAAGGTGGGTGACGGTTCCAAGAATGTTCATTATACTGGTTCACATACTTGTGAAATTTTCCATGACAAAAAGATAAAATAAAGGGAAAGGAAAAAAATCCTGTGATGTATTGAATAACTCAGGCATGCAGATTTTATGCAAAGCGTGTTTTTGCCAGGCTAAGATATGCCTTTTTTTTTTTCAATTAGAAAATTTAATTTCAACTTCCCCAAACCTTCCATAGATGAGCATGATGTTTGTCACACTTTTCAGTTTCAAGAGAGCTGGAGGCACAGCACATGAGTGGACTTACATTGTTAGAAGTGTGGTATGTAATTTCCACTAGAAAGGGCTTGATGATTTCACCAAACTAAGACATACGTTCTCCTGATTTTCTAATCAAAGAATTGTACTTACTAACAGGACACATTTAATTGTTCTCAGTTAACAGAAACACTGAGTATTCAGCATGATATGACAAGTACCAAACTGGCCTGGGAGCTCTGCCTAGGTTGTTGGGTTGCGAATGGATTCTCTGTGGACTTTAATCAGATGTGGGGACATACACTTGGAAAGTTCTTGTTCTTTTGGATGCAAACAAACTAAATTTAAGTGAAACCATCCCAGAAAATTTCAGAAATCATAAAGAACAATTTTTTAACATCTTTATTGTGGTATGACTCTTGTACAGGAAACCACACATATTTCAGATATACAGTTTGATGAATTTTGGTAGATGTGTACATCCATGAAACCACCACCACAAACATGACAGCTAACATTTCCATCACTCCCCCAGAGGTACAAATTTCTAATGCCCAGTTTATCCTTTCCCACCCCCTTTCCCTGTTAACCGTAAGATTTACTATGTGTGTGAGTCTGTTTCTGTTTTGTAGATGAGTTCATAGTGTCTTTTTTTTTTTTAGATTCCACATATAAGTGATATACAATATTTTTCTTTCTCTTTCTGGCTCACTTAACTTAGAATGATGCTCTCTAGGTCCATCCATGTTGCTGCAAATGGCATTATTTCATTCTTTTTATGGCTGAGTAGTATTCCATTGTATAGATATACCACTTCTTTATCCAGTCATCTGTCGATGGGCATTCAGGTTGCTTCTGTGTCTTCACTGTTGTAAATAGTGCTGCTATGAACAATGAGGTTCTGAGCTGCCTTAACTTTAATGGTGCTGTTGATCAGAATTCCAGTCTCATTTCACCCTCATAACAGCTCTCGAGAGAAGGCTCCTTCTTTATTCCTGTTTCATCTGTGAGGAAACCGCGGTGTCAGGGTCAAGTGTTTTGAAGTGCTCCTGCTGTAAACTTTGATTCTACTTTTGTTCTGTTAAAAAAAAACTTGAAAACGTTTCATTCCTTGACTTGCATAGAGAATGAATTTCAAGTTAATTTTCTTTCAGCGTGATAGCATATCATTGTGAAAATTCTGCCAAAGCAAAGAAATTAACTGGCCCTTTTACTTCTTTACAGTTTGGAAGACTTTAATAATTGGATTTCTAAAGCAATAAATTCTCGGGAAACTGATCGTCTCATCAATTCTGTGAGTTACCACGTCTTGTGCGCTCTGGGTGGGTTCCTAGATTTGGAATTTACAGATCTTTATTTAATAATCCTTGTTCTCTTACCTGTGTGGAGGAAGGCCAGGTTGTATGCCCTGCATTCTTTTTTTTTTAATTTATTTTTTATTTAATTAATTAATCTTTTAACTAGTCTTTTTTGGGGGGTATAATTAGGTTTTTATTTAATTTATTTATTTAATGGAGGGACTGGGGATTGAACCCAGGACCTTGTGCATGCTAAGCACACACTCTACCACTGAGCTTTACCTCGCCCCTGCATTCTTAATAAACAGTGACCTCCTCTCTCCCCTGTGACGGGCGCCACCCCCTCTTTCTTTGGGAGGCTGGAGTGATGCTCTGCAGGCAGTGCTGTTGAGTTGGTCCAGTTAAGCAGAGGGTGTGGAGGGTAAAACAAAGAATCAGAGACGTCGGTATGAAATCTGTAAACACCATGGCCTGCTGTGATGAGCCAGCCTGCCGTCTGGTGATCAGTTCATTACGGGCACGTTTATGTCCACTGCTGGACGTGTTTGCGGGCTCTCTCGTTCAGACGTCCTTTGTGGTCGTTTCTCAGCAGGAGACGCAAAAATCAAAAGTGAAAAACCTAACCTCTCGGTGGGATCTGATCGCAAAAGCAGAGTAAAGTGGCGCTCAGAACCGTGACGTTGGCTTCCACTCCGCCGATTTCTTCCATAAGACACAGACGAGTGGAGTTGACTCTTTCGCGTTGTGCACTCTCCCATCTTTCTCCCCTTTTTCCTGAAGGAGCTGGGGTCTCCGAGCCGTGCGGGCGACCCCCAGCCAGAGGCCTGGCGACCGTCGGCTGCCCCGCTGCGCCTCCGCTGCCTGGACACCTTCCGGGGGTACGTGGGGCCCCTGGTGACACGGTGGTCACAGGTCCACCGGAGACAGACGCACCCTCTGTTTTGGGCTTTGCTTCCTAGGCTAGAAGAGGGTTCCTGCCATCGGGATAAACCCACAGATAAATCGGCAGCCTCTCCTGACTTAAAAAGTGTCGCGGGAGCCAGTAGGATCTGTCACTGGACAGGAGCAGCGGGTGGGCCCCTGTGTCCGGTCGGCAGCTGGACAGACGGGCAGGTGCCCAGGCTAGAGAGGGAACCCGGTTCTCGGGGGGGAGGCGGCTCTCATCCACCACCACCCCTAGCAAAACGGCTTATATATCAGGCCCTTTGGATAGCAAATCCACAGAGCTTGATGGTAAATTGTTCTTATTTCATAGTTTTGGGGGAAAAAGGAAGGCCAGGACCAGACTCCGAAAATGAAATCTAAAACGGGATGACCAAAAAGAAATGCCTAGGTGTCAGGTCCATCCATTTCTACCCACGGAGGCCTTGTAAGCTCCGGGGATAACCCGAGAAGTCTGGCCCGGCCTCCCCAGAGCTCTGAGTGTCCTGGTGGGTGTCTGCGAAGCCAGCTAATGACAAGAGTGATACTGATAATGACAGTGTTACCGTTCCAGCTTGTCTTAATTCATCTCTTAGCCGTCCTATGAGCTCTGTACTTAAAAACCAAAACAAAACAAAACAACAGTGCCTATTTGCAGATGAAGAAATTGAGCTTCAGAGCTGAGTATTTTGCCCTGGGTCACTCAGGGACTAAGAAGGACAGCTGGGATTTGATTCCAGGCAGCTGGACTGCCCACACATCACCCTACTGACACCAAGGTCTTCCTTCCCCACGGCTGCGGAATTCGCATCGAGCAGCAGCATGTTTTGAATGTTCTCTATTTTATCCCTCTGTCTTTCTGAGATGGTCACGGGGAGACAGGAGCTAACGCTGATTAAGTGCCTGAAGGTTCTAAGCGCTTCCAGGCGCCGCTCAGGTGCTGTGATGGGCACCACCCACCCCGTCGCGGTGCCCGCGGTCCCCAGGGCAGGGTGTCCCTCCTTCACAGAGACCTGATGGGAGGCTCGGCCCAGCTCGAATGGCTCCTCAGGGGGATGGACTCGACGCTTG